GACATTAGGTTTGAGCATACCGATTCGTCGATGACGCGATTACATAATCATAGAGTAGAATTGTTTGCGCGCGTTTGGTGCTGTTTCACGACTAAAGAAACGATTGGAATTGGTTAATTATCGATTAGCTTGGTTCGATTTGAAACGAAGATGAAAAATTGGGAACCAGCAAAATTGGAAGAGGTAACATTGTTACAGATGTCTTCTGCTAATTTCTCACTGCGTCCGGAATTGTACTAAATGGTGTAATGGGAAATTTGCAGAAGAACGTTTGAAATAAGCAATGCCATAACGCCGATTAAGATTCGCTCGAGACTCGATCGGAAGTCGCGTCTCGAAACTCGAGCCATTTCGATAATATCCGCAATAACCACGCTAGATTAAGTATAAACACGTGTAAAGGGCGCCTGATACATTTTTTACCGAACGAAGAAGAGAGATATTGGCTTTATTTCGTGAACTGCGATAGCGTTCGAGGTGAATAGGGGATGAAAACCATCCCCCAGCCCTTCTCACCCTGCGCAGCGTATTCGTAATCGGTACCCTTAGGGCAGGAGTGGAAAAGATGACACGATCGAAGCACACACGTTTTCTGCACTCTGAACTCGATCCGATGGTACTACTATTCTAGAAATGGATCCACGCTTGAGAGCTACGAAGTCTTATACATAACTGAGTGTTTTACTATTGGATTATAAATATTACGGCGATACTTATTAATGTACATGATTTTTCATTACTATATTATAGATGTTACTTAATAATATATTTACAAATAATTAAGCAAGAGCAGTGGTTTCATTCGCACCATGAACAAAGTTATCCTTCCACCCCTATTCCTTGGAGTAGGAATAAATAGGATAAGTCCCGTGATTCACATTATATTTTTGCTTAAAAAAATTCAAAGTTACAGTTAAAGGTTGTATAATTATATAGTAAAAATTTGGAAGCTTTGTGTTTTTTTTCCGCTATAAAAAATTCCGAAAAAACTTAAAAAAAAAACGGCCGTCACACGGGTTGACTCCCTTAACGCAGCCTGGCAGAAACATCACATTATACTATTCTACTTAATTAGTTAATTAAATTAATTAGTTTATTTATTTTAGTTTGAAGTTTGGTTGAATCCCGCTATACTACAGTATTACTATATAAATTAGTTTTAGTATTAATCCTCTTTCGTTTGAAACAGAGATTAGAAAAGATGTTTCTCTCTTCCTCGCACCTTCGCTCTGTCTCTCTCTAATTAGTATAGTGGCGCCATCGATGGCAAAACGCCCAAGTTTGTAGTCAAACTA